CAGTGTTCCCTTGCTCTGTTCTGACGACTGCCTCCTGGTCCAAGTATAAGTTTCGCATTAGAAGGATCAAGTGTTCTGGGATTCCCATTCTTCTCAGAGTCAGCCATAATTTGTTATGATCTACACAGCCAAATGCCTTTGTCTCTGAAAACCTGCTGGAGGGTCAGCTATGGGTCAGTTCTGACTCAATGGTACACAGTACAACTCTTCACACATTGACTATCCTGTCTTCTGACTTCAGTGGGCGGAAAGCAAAGAAGACGACCCCCTGTGAGCCATTGTACATGCAGGGAGTACGCTCTGATACACAGGCCACAGACAGGCCATGGGAGTCAGGGCTGACTGGGCCAGTGTTTGGGTGTTGGGGGTCATAGGCACCCTCTGGGCTGCGGACCTAGAGGTTAGACCTTCCAGTACACGTGGAGGCACTGCAGAAGAGAGGCCTGGCAAGCTGCTATCCTAAGGTCCAGCCAGGGAAACCCTGTTAGGTGTCGTGTCGCGGCTGGGGCGTGACTCAGTGACCCTGTGAACTACCTCGCCTGCCCAGTGTGAAGCAGCGTTCCGCCTGACCCTGTGGTCTGTTTTTCACTGCCCCCACCCTCGTTCACAGAGCAGACACCGTCCATTCAGGCTTTTATTTGGGGTCCAGGAGAAGCAGTCAGTGAAGGGGTCCATATGATGGGCTTGGCAGGGAGGTGGTCCCCCAGCTACTTCCTCCACGAGCCGAACCGTGGCCTGTCCCGCGCAGTCCGGGCACTGCCGAGAGGGGCGACGCAGGCTGGGGGGCCTGGGGGCGCTGGCCTGGACTCCCCCAGGGCTGCCCGCCTCCTCCCGAAGCGGCCTACAGGCCTGATGCCCCGGCCCGTGTACCAGGCGGGGTTGATGTCAGGGGCTGCGGGGGGAAGACAGGTGTGGGCAGAGGCCTGCGCCCAGCTACCGCTGCCGGGCAGCAGTGAGGAGGTCTGCACCCTGGGAAGACTTGGGGGCACCTGCATTAGGACTAAGTCAGGGTCATCTTCCTGCCCCATCTGTCTGTCTGGTCCAAGAAGAGCCATCTGGCCCCAGATCGTGTGGGTGGTGGGCTGTGAACCCCTCTATTGGGGAGGAGTAGGTGACCTGGAGCAGAGGCCCCAGAACTCCAAGGTCAAGGCCCCAGGGCCAGGTTTAGCCTGAAGAGGTGTGGCTATGACGAGGGGCGTGGTTGTTGTTGTTGGGGGGGTGACCACAGCGTGATTGGCCTGCCAGTGATGTGCCTAAGCCGGAGATGGGCGTGGCCACGGCTGGCTGCGGTGGGCGTGGCTATGCACTGGCTGCACTGGCTGCAGAGGCGTGTTCCAGGCGTGGCTAGGCTGTGCAGGGGCGTGGCTAGGCTATGCAGGGGCGTGGCTAGGCGGTGCAGGGGCGTGGCTAGGTTGTGCAGGGGCGTGGCCGGGCTTGGCCATGGCTGAGATGGCAGGACTAAGGGCCGGGCAGGGCGTGGCCCCGAGGAGGGGCACTCACTGCGGGTCTCCATGGAGTGCTGCCGGCTTCGGCTGGTGGACCCCGGCAGAACCAGGCCCAGCAGCAGCAGCAGCAGCAGCAGGCACAGGAGCCAAGCCAGCGGCGCCTTCATGGCCCTGGGTCCTTGAAGAGACCTCGCTGATGCTGGAACCCCACACA